AATAATAATAATAATAATAATAATAATAATAATAATAATAATAATAATAATAATAATAATAATAATAATAATAATGCGAAACAGAATCTGTATTGTCCGTGCTCTCGCATTCGAAAACATAAATTGCATGGCCTATTACAGTATATTCGGCTTTTCTGTTACAATTTTTTGTCATATCTACTTTCAGTCATAGTAACATGAATTGGATTTGCCTCTTTCCCCCCTACTTTAACCATGATTGACCGAGCTGGGTGCTTCATGTGAGGCTTAAGCAATATGATAAATTGCAAAATACCAGTATTCCGAATAAACAATTCCAGTACAATAACTCTAATGTAATTAATATATTATTAAATAATCTTGCTCGGCTTTTACCATTTTCTTTACTGATCGCCTAATACATAATACGCAATTTCAAAAGAATATTTCTTTTTTTTTCTAGATGCACACTTTCTTTTGGTTACGTTCTATTGCTTACTTTTTTGTCATTTCATACATAATCGTGCCAACGAGTGTCAACGAACAAGTTCTAGACCATAATGTGCGGCGCTTTTGACTTTAGTCTTTTAATTTTTTTTAATTTGGCGGCATAATGTGTGTGACTCAATTAATAAGTTAAGCCGTTGTGCTAATCAGATTAGTGAGTTGGACGTTCTTGAGCTATGCAAAAAAAAAAAACGGGTCAGTGGATATTACTAATAATGCAAGCATATAAGCCGCCTCGTACAACAGGAGCAATCGTGATTCAACGATCCTCTGAAAATGATTGTTGATCACGCAATATCATTCGACTCAATTAAAAGTTGCACAGTTTGGTAATTAGTATCGGTAATTTGCCTAAAGTAGTATGAATGTTTACATTAAATATCATATAAAGAATCACGTTTTTTTACGGTTTCTCACAGTACTCAATGTATATAATATTGGTGAGAAAAAAAAAGGCGGTAATACTATATCAGGGTTATTTTCAACTTTTTTCCCACCGGTTAATCTGCATCTTTAATGGACTTTTATTGTGATGATCCAGTAAGAAAATGGGGAGTTTATTAAAATGCTCAAACTTGTAATCTAACCAGAAATAACAAAACCGTTAATGTGTGAAAAAAAACTTTTGTTTGTGACACGGGGCTGGTTGAATAAACCCCTTCTGCATATTAAATAATCACAAATCTGCTTTTATAAGGTAATTTGTTGATGTGGCGGAACACATCTGCAACATGTCGGATTCAATCTGATTGGATGTATCTGTGTGACATTGCACACAAAGATTTCAGTAAGACAAGCACAACCACTTTTCCCCATATCCTTTGTTTCCTGTAACTCATTAACCTGTATTTTTTTTCAAGGGCGAATACTATACAGGCTTTGTTGTAAAAAAGAAGTTTAATATTGCATAAACCTTGTTATGAGGCTCGCTTACGATTACCACGGCTTATAATTTGCATTTCTTTCCAGCTTTTTAGCTAAACAATCTAAACGCTAGCATTGAGCGAATAGTCCTTAGTCAGAGTGTGACGTCAATAAATGATATACCAATACACGAGTAAAAGCGTTGAGATAAATGCCTTATTGTCAAGTGTGTATATCGTTATATAATACATAGAGAAAAACCAATAACAACGATAAATTAAGAATGCTAACAGGACCAAGAGTTTTTGTCTGTCTAATGATATGACTGAGTTTTGTTTTGATGCATTAACCCTGAGTGTTACGTAGAAAGTGTTTGTCGTTAATTTTTATCAGGGATATAATGGGTTTGAAATTCGTATATAATTACCCCTATGTTGTCTATCTTTCATAGGATAAAGTTCTGTGCGCGCGTTTTATCGTTAATATCTGAATACCAACAAAGTGAGAATGTTTCGTCTAATTGGCGATACCATTCATTGAAATTTAGGATTAGAGCAGCCTGATTGTTTATGAAATAGTGTATAAGATTTACAATTTTTATTGCAGAAAAAATAAACTTTCTCCCGCTCTTTTTTTGATGGGCTACAAAGAATTAGTATAATAAATATAGTACAATATTCGTAATATTTTTGGTATATGCCTCCTAATTTATACAAAAACGCTAGAAAAATTATGTTGCGTATTAATAATTAAGCTCTCGTAGACACATTATCGAGTTTTCTTATAACAAGTCGGTATTCTTTCATGTATGACTGGTATGTATTTACTTCCTCGGCGTAATCGACTATCATCTGCTTGTACTCGGCCTCTGTGATTTTAAAAAGAGGACAGTAAAAGACGCCCATTGGCTCGAGCATTTCTATGTAATTATTCAATGCCTAACAACAACAACAACAACAACAACAACAAACATGTGTGAATGGGGCTGTCGCAAATTTTTAAATTAAATGCATGCAACGTGACAAAAACATATTACTGCTGCTTACCGCTTCCCCCAATTTCCCTGCCCAACGTCCATATGGGCGTGTTTTCTGTTCAAATTTTTCAATGACAACCTCATCTTTGAGCTCACTAAAGGTTTTCACCATAGCTGCACTAGACACGGTTTTGATACCAGAAGTCTCGACATGCGAATGTCCTAAAAATTATGAATTAATATGTGATAAGCATATAATATATTTCAAGCAATCATATAATACACATGTATGTCACAAATGTAACTTACGAAATTTCTCAAACATCCGACCAATAGGTCCCGGTTGCATTATTTCAGCGTCCAGATCCATGATTTCGATATACCCTCCAGGTTTTGTCACTCTTATTAATTCCCTCAAGGTTCTCTTGGTCCATTTTTGCCAATCGATGCAGATCACTAGTAAGGCCTGTCGAACAAAATCGAATGTGCAGTCCGGAAACGGTAGTCCGTCAAGGACATCACATTTGAGAAATGCCACGTTAGGTAAACTGGTTTTAGGAAATACTGGAGCAATGTCTATTCCGATAAACGTGGAGAGAGGATAGTTCGTGGCCGTGTTTGTAGCCCATATTCCCACGCCACATCTAAAAAGAGGGGAGTGACAAAGTCATTAAGAACAAGTATGGGAATAAGAAATAACAGCACATATTTGCATTTATTTATGCTTACCCTACGTCAAGAACGCTGGCACCAAATGATAATTGTTCTGTAACAGGAGAAGATTGAAGACATCCCCAAATAATTTTATTCACTTGAAGCGCTCTATGTGATCGTCTTTCTTCCTTACTATCACAGGGGAGATAGTTATTCGATTCGGAATCGTTGAAATAGAATCTTCCGTTAATCTCTATAAAGACTTCGAACAAATTTTCTGGGGCTATGGCAGCATCTCTAATCGGAGCAACAAAAGGTTTCGGTGGTTCTTCCGGCTGAAATAAAGCGTTGATACTAGCTTCAGCATATTTAGATTCATTCGATTTCAATTTAGAGTACAATAGTTCTGCTTTCATTATGTTTTGAGACGTGCACGGATCTGGGCTATGAGTTTTGTTTTAACACTAGTGTGTACGTGTGTGTGTGTGTGTATGCGTGGATGGGTCTCGACCTTTTCTTTTTTCTTTACTTGGAAGCTTGAAAACAAAGATTAAATATCTTTTTTTTTGTGTGTAAACGCCTCAATTGTTATATAATCAGTACGTAATCAAGATGCACCAATAGATAAAACTTTATGCAGGACCCCCGTGATATGGGCGTATGCAAAGATTAATAGGAAAAGTTGTACAGGAAGCAAGAAATAATATAGCAAAAGTGATTGACTGAATAGAAACATTCAACTTGGCTTTTTAAATTTTCGATTGCCTGCCTGCCCTGACAAGTCTATTACTATGCGAAAGCTGCGGTGAATTAGTATTATATGTAATGTATGTAACAGAATTAAGGTTTTATACTTTATAAAACTCTCATTTCTTTTGTATAACGATGTGTATACTTGGAATATTCTGCCAAGACGGTCTGTACCTTTACTTTGAAATAAAATTTTTTTTGCTTTTGATCTACGGCAGATCTTTATCCCTGTAGATCAAAAATTGTGCGACTGTTATAACTAGCACGCTTAGCATCAGGAAAGTTTATTTTTGTCATTGTCTGATAACAACCTGTTTGAAAATTTGCAACTTATTAACATCGGATGAATTAAAACTCCGGTTTTGCAAATGTGTGTTAGTAAAGCCGAGTTTTGCTAAACTCTGTTGAATCATTTGATTAGTAATTATTCTTGTTTATTTTCTAAAGTTATAGCACTCAATCAGAAGTGAGGCAACACAGTAATTGTCACGCAAATTGTCGAAGAACTATTATACAAGATGCCCATTCTTCCACAAGCGAATAGGAAAATGTTTGTATAATCGAGGGACAAATTTTGGCCTGTCGACACATTGAGCTATCCAGGTTGCTGCTACACATGGCATCCACCAATTATTTTGACGAAAATACGCTCAAAACACGCTAAAACGTTTGGTTTGTTAATTTTATTAATTTTTTTTTCACTTAACTCGGTTTTATTTATTGTTCCGTTATGGAAAAGGGTTGCCAAGCATCAGTTGAATCGCATAATTTTATCTACCAGTACGCTGCAAGCATCAATGCTGTGTATTAAGAATTTGGTCAGGGACGCACGCTGATTAGTTGTGTTTGTATAAAATTATTAAAAAATCATATCGCTTGCATGTGTGCTACACGCAGATTTGCGCAGAACAAGGCAGCACGAATTCACTCGAACCCCTCAATGTGAGATATTTTTATGGATATGTTACATGTGTTTGGAGAGATGAACAATCGCAGTGTTGGAATGCAAATATTACGACTTCTTGTTGTGATTCTGTTCCTCTCTCTCTATTTGTTCAATTGTAATATTAAGTTGTAGAAAATTTGCTAAAACTTACGTAAACCCCAGAAAGTTCGAAAAGAATATCCATTATTTACATACTTACAACGCTGTTTATTGGTACCAAAGTTGCAATTTAGCTATAGGCAAGCGATAATGTGAACGAATAATTACAGAATAATTAGCGCAAACAAGCTGTATAGGTCCGTGCACGTTTGAACAAAGATGCGAAACAGAAGCTGTATTATCCGTGCTCTCGCATCTGAAAACAATTAATAAAACAAAAGTATAAATCACACAGTATATTACTTGCGCTTTGCAATAGAACATATTCGGGCTTTTCGGTCATAGTAACATGATTTGGATTTGCCTCCCTCCCTAATTATGATTGACTGAATGTTCAGTAAAAAATTCCCCGAACATGCAAAGTACCCGAGTTGAATCTATATATTAAAAAGCGGATGTGTCATGTGAGCGTTACGGCAAGATGACAAGTGCTCCCGTTATCAAAACTCCTAGTAATCGCTCTAGGACGATGACTCTGATTTAATTAACATATCATTATTGTCAAATAATTTTATTCGGCTTTGCCTTTTTTACTTAATACATAAATACTATTTTGGGAAAGTTTTTTTTTTTTGAAATACATATTCTCATTCGGTTACTTCAACTTTAAGACCCTACCTAAACCTTATTATTATACTCAAACGCTAATCCATGTTTGATATGTTTTAAAGTTCTATTAAAATACTTGCTTACTTTTGCTATGCATCGCCATGTGATTTGTATCTTATATTTCAAATGTAATCACGTCAATGAATGTCAACGAACAAGTTTTACATTATAATCGTGGCCCTTTGACTTTTGATCGTCTCGCCTAATCTCTTAATTTAGCAAAATCAATGAGGCATAACTTAAAATGTGTGTGACTGATCGATTGACAAGTTAAGCCGTTGTGTAAATTAGAGCCAGTGCGTTAGCTACACAAAGAATAGGGTCAGCAGATGTTATTAATAATACAGCGCAGTAGCCACATTGCACGACAGAAGCAATCGTAGGGATTCCATCGTCACACTAGTATCGATAATGGGGGGGTAGAGTCACAGTTTTCTCACCACAAACAGTTAGACTATAAGTATGATCTGTGTGAGAAAAAAGAGCGGTAATGCTGTATCAGGATTTTATTTTCAGCTTTTTACCACCGGTTAATCTCATCTCTTTTAATGGGCTTTTGTGATGATCCAATAAGAAATGGGGTATTAAGTTTAGGAAGTAACAAAAACCGTTAATGTGGAGGACCTTGTTTAGTAACACAGAGGCTGCTGAATAAACCCCTTGGCGTATTAACTAATCACAAATCTGCTTTTATAAGGTAACTTGTTGATGTGTGGCAGAACAACATCTGCAAGTAAGTCTGATTGGATGTATTGGTGCGACATTGCGAAACACAGGTGAATTTACAGAGTTGGAATAACGATAATAATAATATTAACCACACTCGGAAACAAACAAGTAAAAATTGTAAGACTTCGCGTTGATGTAAACCATGACCATTTTGCCTGTATCCTTTTGTTTTCTGTAACACTGATCCCGTCTCACTGTAAAACGATGCATTATTATCAATACGGTTATATATTTGTACGTTATGCCATGTATACATTTATGCTCATTATAAAAAGAAAGTTTCTTATTGCATAAACCTTGTTACTTAGCGTGATTACGATTTATTACATAATCTATAATTTGCAAATTCTTTCCAGTTTTAGCGGAACAATCTAAACGCTAGCAGTAGTCGAATAGTTATATAAAGATAGTATAAGAGGTGTTAGGCAAGGGGTTTTTTAAAAAAGAATAAGAAGAAAATACTATCTGTAAACAAGATGTCGTTTAGGATTTCCCCAACATCATCCGTTGATAATTTTGACTATGAAAATACTGATTCTGAGGCCAGTTCTACTCATTCGGTGGCATCATTATTTGATCCGATAAAGGAGGCGGCTATGACTCCATTCAACCTGTTTGACCAATTTATAGAAATTGATGGAAGATACTATTTCAACGACAAAGAACTCAAAACTTACCTACCTAGCGACAGGCAGGAGCATGCTAGGACACGCGTACAATTATATGTATACAAATTGCTATGGGGGGGCCATTTCTCTTCCCCTATTACAGAAGAGCTAGCGCTCGGAATCAATGTTCTTGACGTTGGGTAAATACACGGTTTAACTATTTTTTAAAATTTACTTATTGCATTGCATTGCCATTGTCTCCTCTCCCTTCTTTTTCCTTCTCCTTCCGTTTTCACCAATCTCTAATATTATTCATCCAACAGTTGTGGTGGAGGATCATGGATTTCAGCTATGGCTACGAACTTTCCCTTATCAAGTTTTGTCGGAATAGATATTTCTCCTTTATTCCCTGAAGACAATCCACCCAATTCGGCATTTATTAAATGTGATGTCCACGACGGTCTACCATTTCCCAGTAATTCGTTCGATTTTATTTTTCAAGGATTTCTCGTAGTTTCTATCGATTGGCAATCATGGAGCGAGAAGGTGATAAAAGAATTAATAAGAGTGACCAAGCCTGGAGGGTACATCGAAATCATGGACATGGATGCTGAAGCAATGAATCCAGGAGAAATTGGCCGCAAATATAATCATATTAGTACGTATAATACACTTGGTTTACGGAGTTTACGGTGTTTGAAATCTCGTCGTTTTTGCTGACTCGCATTTATATATTCTTAGTGTCAACGAAGTTTGCTGATGCTGGAATTAATACCATGTCTAGCAGTGGTGTGGTGAAAGCGTTTGGTGAACATAAACGTGAAGTCACCGTTGAAGCGGTTCGCAAGAAGAAATATTATCTTGGAAAACATGGAGGAAAATTGGGTGAAATGGTAAATAAAGATTTCTCAAAAAGTTTTTGACATATTTGCGACTTGTATTACTGGCGCTGACACATTCTTTTGTTAGGCACTAGCATGTTACATACAAGCACTTGAATCAATGGGTGCTTTTATTGGGCCTCTTTTTGATGTTACTGAAGACGGTTATAAGCAACTGTTAACGGATTACTACGATGAACTTAATAATTGTAATTCATTCATGACATGTTATCGTATCATTGTAAAAAAGAAATGATGTATAAGCGGGGACTTGTTGATCAAATTCTTCGTAGAAAAGATTCTCATTAGTTGTTCATATTTAAATAATTTTTACCTTTAATATTAAAATATGTACTGTAATAAAATGTATTTTTAATAGAAGTAAAGTTAGATCCTGTAGAGGTAGAACTTAAAGTCGTTCTATCTGCAATCATATTAAACACTGTTTAATTAAGAAATAAATTCACTTTCATGATTAAAAATATAAAGATAATACTGTACATCGATCAGGAGACATGGGATGAGAGAAGCAATTGCTGTAGAGGAAATAATTATTTACGAAATTCATCATATTACGTAATGCCTGTCCAGAACTAAATAGTTCGGAAAAGACGCGTTCGCTGACGTTTTACCCTATGAAATTAATTTGTCCTATTATGCAATACTGTTGGTTGTCGTTTTCCCTCAGTCCATGACAGCCGAAACTTTTCTTTTTGAAAAAATTCTTGGCTATATTGCTTGTATGTATGGAATCGTAATTTATTGGATATGCTACTTCTTATGGCGCAAGACAAGTGATAAGTGATTGTTTGTATGCTGAACGATAACGTATTAATACAGTCCTCTGTAATTTCCGACCTCATGTGATAATCGTAGTTGGACAATTTGGTATTTGGGATGGTGTTGACAGTAGTGCGCGTTGATAGATATAAAGAGAAAAAGACGCTAGATTCGCTGTGTTCAAGCATACTTTCGATCTTATTATATTCTTAACAGACGGGTAGTTTTTTCATAACCAAAAACATATTATTCCCTAATATTAGGAATATCCGCCACAAATATGCTCGTGGTATTAAGATTAATTTAAATGCATTTTAGATACGAATTATAAACCCAACATATAGGCTTCCTCGATTTAATGGGAACTATCGATCGACACAAGTTTGTGAGAAGTAAAGCCTGATTTAACAGGTCGCTCACTAGCCGTTTAATTAATTGAGAAGCCATAACTCCATCTAAATCCCAACCATCGATTGCCCTCGCGCGAATGTTTAACTCTTTTCAGTTGTGTTTAAACATAGTTACCAAGTCACATGACTACGAGCCATTGTGTCGTTCTTAACTAATTGCAACCGAGTATGTACTTTTTTCGCAAGTGTTGCTGACTGCTCGAGATGATTTGTTCCCTCTCTGGGAATGTTATTCATCCAAGGTATGAGGTATGCTGTACGACAGACTAGTTCATGAAGAATGTCATCTTTTTCCAGCTAAGATTTTGATTAAAAAACGTACCTATTCGATTTATTCGCAAATACTAAAAACTACTTTTTACATGTTGCTAAGCCTATGAACATATATATTCGCCTGCCATTTAACAATTATTAAATTGCTATCCTTTGGCAAACAATTAATTACACAATCGTTTCTGTTATGACGGTTGCTTCGATGGGACGGCTTTCAACACTAGAGGAACCAAGATCATCTGTTGCCTTTGTGGTTAAAACGATCTTCACTACGTCGTCTTCCTTGGCATCAAAAACTTTATATGCCCTCGGCGCGTCGGTCAGCGGCATGCGATGAGTGAAAAAATCAACAAAGGCTTCGCCGCTCAAAAGTTTGGGAAGTAAAATTGGCCAGTATTTTTGAGGATGAAGTTGGCCACCGCGAAGGGTCAGTGACTTTTCCTTTAGTTATCAAGTATAAGGAGCAGCATTAATAGATAAAGTGCGAACGACCACCAAGTCGCATGGTCTTCTTGCTGAAAACAAAGTATTGCATACCATGAGGGCGCCAATTGGGAAGTGATTAGCCACTCCAATATAGTCGCCAATGAGGGCAATCCTTCCGCCTATGTCAAGGATATTAGAAAAGTGCATCACCCCACCGTCCCTTGTCCACGCAAATGTTGGATTTCAAACATACCTTTCTTAACAGATTTGACAACTTCGTCCACAACATCAACGCTGTCAGTCTCCGCATACAACATCTTTTCCACTTTGTGCCTCATACTCTTCGAAGCATATCTGAATCCGACCGCATCAATACCGACGTCAAGGCCTTTTGGAACCAATTCACGTATTTTGCCCACTGTATTTTTAATTTCCTTAAAATTGATAGTTTCTGCTCCAATATCTCGTGCCAATTTGAGGCGACTAGGAATGTCATCGATCGCTAAAGTTTAAGAGAAAGATTGTTAATTATTGGCTTTTAGAACAGTTTACGACAGTGTCTTGGTTGACTTGATAACTACCAATGATACGCGACGCTCCACGATTCTTGGCCCATGAAGCAGCCATGAGCCCAATAGGACCGCATCCTATATTGTTTTTGAGTGATGACAAGGTTTGTTAATTAAGAGAATGGTCATTAGTCCGATTGATGGCATGTCTGATATGTCGAACTATTGTCGCATATACGTACCCCATATACCCACAACATCGCCTACAATGCAAATAAATGACGTATTTAACAGTTAATACTCTTGAATAACATACACTTTTCACAATGATTATTTATTTGCTCAATTCCATACCGTGTCCTACTTCGCTCAATTCGCAAGCATGCCATCCCGTACAAGCGACGTCAGACAATAACAAAAGCTTCTCCTATATTAAGGCGATATTAGAGTTAAAAGCGAATATAGCACGCATGCAAACTCGCAAACGAACGGAGCAGAACTCACCTGGAGCTTCGAAAAGGTATCCTGAGAAATATGCAAAAGGTTGGTATCGGCATACGGGACTCTAACATATTCAGCCTGAGTTCCTGCAGAAAATAAAAATGCAAGAGCTTGTTCAAGAAATTCTTATCCAAAGATGGTTCCGAAACCATCATGTAGCCAAACATCAGCTAATTTGGAAAGCCTTACTCACCATCGTATCCTCCAGTGATGTGAGAATAGCCGAACAGAGCGGCAATTCTGTCTCCTGTGGTAAATCGTATAATGTCGTTTAGTAACAATATGCGCTATAATTTTTTTCCCTTATTGATTAATCCTCCCCATTTGCTAATATCAATTTAGTAATACTCGAAGATAATGCCGATGAGTGGTGACAAATGTATGATTGGTTATTCGACTACTTGCCATACATCTCTTCCATATCTTTACTTGGATTGGTAGTGTCACAGCAACTGTACATGCGTTCCTTACAATAGTCGCACGCTCCACAAGCAATAACTGCTGAGATGACAACTTTATCCCCAGGCTGTACTTTAGTCACTTTAGCTCCAACCTGTTTTCAACAGACATTCGACGCGCGTTCCGTGAGTAATTTATCGCAACATACTGCTAAATGATACACACACGCACGCGTGTCAGCGGATCGGTCCGATGCATCCGCGATACGTACCTCTTCGACAACGCCCACACCTTCATGTCCAACTATATCGCCATCTTGCATTCCAGGAATCTCGTTATGGTATAAATGGAGATCCGAACCACATATCGTGGTATAAATAATACGGACAATCGCATCCGTTGGGTCCTAGATCATACCCGGAATGTGGGCGAGGGAAACAACACACGCAGAGAATTAAAAACTAGCATACAGTGAAACTGTCAATTACAAACATGGCTAAAATCTCTCTTTCAAGTGAATGTGAATCTTTGTGCGCAATATACCGCAAGCTTTGACTTTGGCCTGTGCTCATTGACTTTGATAGTGCGAGTACCCTTCCATTCGACAGCAGTCATGCACTCGTCGTGTTTGCAGGTCGACTCTCCCGTCGCCATAGTTTTAAGACTAGAGATAGACATGTTGTTCGTATCAAACTTGAGAACTTACCACGCATTGTCTTCTTATTTTATATCCTGGGTTTGAAGTGTAAACGTTATGACGGGTTTACACGTAAGCATGAGGTATAGTGACATATTGAAGATGCGATAGTGACGAAAATATGTCGAGGATGATGGGAAAAAAGTCAAATTTCTTGATCATATGTTTCATATCAAATGTAGATCATTTCTGCCTTCAGAACGTAATAAACTATTTTTGAATAGCTTCAATTTTCCTTTTTTAAAACGTGAAAATCGTTATCATTGTTCCTGATGCATGTTAGAGTATACCGCAAAGAACAAAGTTTCAAAGTTTAACTAACGCTTACTGGTAGACTCGAACCCAACCCACATACTCGAACCCAAACCACATACTCGAACCCAAACCACATACTCGAACCCTGCATAAAAGTTACGTGTCACATGACAAGAAATTTATATTTTTTTAAAATTCATTACTTTTATTTCTACCGAGAACTTCAAACATTGATATAAACTGCCTACATATCAATATACGTTTTTTGTTCCTGATCGAATTCAATGTTCATCAAAATAAAAAATCACTCCTTTCTTACGTCTAGTCTTTCTTTATATAATGTTTCTATTAAAGTGTCTTTGTCGCAAAATAAATGTTTCTTGCGTAGGTCAATCACGCTCTTGATCCGATAACAGTTTGCCTCCTCTTGATAATTTAGACTTTGACCGTATTGCGGGCATTCTTGCGCTTGTGTTCAGGCAAAGACGATCCTGAGAATGGATTATCTCCTCCGAGAAAGACAGAGGAAAGACGCGGTTCAACGACTGTTGCTGTAACGCTTGTATTGTCACGTCTCGGATGGAAGGCCGATAGAGTTGGAGAGTGAAGAACGGTGTTGTAGAGAAGATGAATTGTCAAGCTTGGCTGCGGAAGTCGCGAGACGTGTTGATGCGCCGGAACTGGCGTGCGGTAGAGAGCGAGTGGAGATGGTAGAGGTGACTGATCATCAGAAAAAGCTTTTGAGAACGGAGAAGACGGGAAGAAATCAAGTGGCGAAGATAATGGAGAAGAAGGCGCGGAGAAATAGACAGATGTTGGAGTTTGTGCACAGTCCTCGTCGTCGTCTGTAATCTCACGGATGCGTTGCTGTCTTTGCTTATACCAATATTCATGGCTATCACCTAATCCCAAAGACTCATTGATCCAAGAAGCTAGTAACGGAAGGCATTCTTCTTCGAACAATTGCGCCGACTCGAAGGATGCGTTTAAATCACGCGGGTACACACTAGCTCCAGGAGTAAGTGCGAATTCGTCAGAGTAGTGGCAATCGTTACTACTCCTTGGCGTGATGCATTGCAAGTTCTTGCTGGCAAACTCTCGTTTCGGACGAGGAGGAGCTCTCAGACTGCGCCGATGAGGAAATACGCATGTTGAGGTTTCTTGGACGAAAGGATGCGCAGAAGTCGGTGATTTTCTTGGGAATGCATCCTTTGTAGGAGTAATAGTATCATCTTCACCCTGGCTGTGCGATTTCTTTCCAGTCTTTGTAATACCATCATTTCTTCTATGCTTTCTTCCCTTTCGACTTCTGCTTGCGCCACCACCTTTAATCACCATAACACCGTCTACCTCTTCCACAAGCTCTGCTTCTTCTATATATTCGGGTTCGTTTCTTCCCGTATATCCGTTTCCATCTGTATCGGATCGCTGCTTGACGAGCAATAACTTTTCCCTGTTATCGTTTGTTCTCACGTGTACAAGAAAAGCACCGAGGCCAGAAGCAGGTGCAGTGCTACTGCGCTCGAGCAAACGTTTGTGCTTACGGGAGGATCTTGCGGAATTGGGTTTTGCAGTTGGGGTTAATGGTGAGCATGGAGTGGGGATAGAGTTGAATTTCGTTGGTGTGAGGGGCGTACGCGGCGTACGGGGTGTGCGGGGTGTACGGGGTGTATGCGGTGCGATTATGGCGGGAGACTGAGTGTATTCTCTGAGAACGTGAACGGGAGAGTAGATAGCCTCTTTACCGACACAACTTGGACAGTGACCATTTTCTTTATCGACCTTCATTGAACACTGAATATTCTCATTGTCGATATTTTTCGGAGATTTCGCGTTCTCTTTATCAATGACATCGTAAACACCCTTGGATACCAACGGCTTGATATTCTTGGGTCTTCTTCGACGCTGCTTACGCGCCTGAACGTTAGTCTCAAGACCGTCACCATCAGCAGGTTTCACCTTTTCTACTGCATCGTTTTCATCAATCGGTTCATTACCCTTTACTTTGTTGTAAGAGATAATGTTCGTGTCATCTAAAACGATTTCTTCGTTGTCGATACCGGTCACTGTGGTAGCGTCACTGGTGACGGATCCGCAGAGAGTTGATCTGTTCGAATGGATGTCTGATGAGTTGTTCGTTGTCCTTGGTGTGGGCGCCGTTACTTCGATGGAGGGTAACCCTGATTCCGTTACTACCGACTGTGTTTGTGCTTTTCTATTTTCCTTTATTTGTACACGGAACGCGCGATAGTATATGTCTTTGGGGATGCTTTTCTTGAATGGCTTGACGTGAGTCATAAATTCGTTGTATTGCAAATCCCAAAACTTTATGTATCCGACTACTTCCTCAATCTCCTTTCCAACTGCATAGAAGTGTATTGGCCTCCAATGCTCGACAGATTCTGGAATTATTCTCGGGCACCCAGTGAGCCTGGCCTGCGTTTTCCCCCATTCTAACGCTTTATTCCATTTTTGTATTTCGCTGATGGGTAGTTTATTCTTGTACAGTGATATTAGCGTGTCTTTGGTGATACGTGTAAAGTCTTTGGCAAAGATAAATTCTACCGGATAACTAGTGAAGAGTATTTCGCAGTATGAGGAGATGTAGGTCAGTTGTTTGAAATGTGGTTTCAGTGAATTGTAGACGAGGTTGATGTTCTCTTGTAGCCAGCGGCCGTGTGAGATTTGGAAGTGGGCGTCCAACAGATCGATGAAACCGCCTTTAATTCGCAGTTTGCATACGGCTACGAGGAGGTTTAATGTCATCTGAGCATCTAGTGCATTGATCACAATAGTCTCGTTGTGAATGTATTTTAGTACAAGCGCAAATACGTCGGATTCGATGTCGATGAGAGATATGGGAAGGTGTTCTCTTATTGCCCAATCCATAGAGTCTAGTGCTTTATCGAAATATCCACTTTTCTCTCTGAGCAGATGAGAGTATGTGTGGAAGATGTGTTTGGAGGATTGAATGGAGGGAGTGGTCCTTACCATTATATCAGGTTGAGTGCTTTGGTATGAGGGGTGGCTGGTGGAGAAAAGAGCCGACTCGTCAACAACAGTTGGTCCGAATGAAGTAAGCGAAGTCATTCTGATATTTTGTAAGCTTCCTGAGCTTGTTTAGGGTTGTGGTAGCAGTCTTTGACGAACAAATGTACAAGGGCAGTGGAGGTAAGGATTATTCTACAAATTGGGGGTCGGGAGGGTATGTAATTGAAGGAAGCTTCGTAATAAGAGAACAGTAATTCAATAAAATAACGAAATATATACAACTGCGGGTATATAAAAAGGTGTTATTATGTTTGCTTTTATGGATTAGCCTGAATTTGTACAAGGCTGAAGCTTCCTGAGCGTTCAGTGAGTGTTTTTTGGTTAAATTTTTTGGTCGCCGACGAGGGAAACTAGAATTGATGGAGACAGTTGTTTATATATCAGAAAAACATGGTGCGATTGTTTTTTAAGTATATAGTACATTATTATTGTGCCTCAGAAAATCGTCGTTGTTTGAGCATTTGTCCTTGTGTCTATAACATGTTTTAGTCTTTATACATCCTGATTACTCTATTTGGGTTGAATGCCAAAAGATGATGCAGATTAGTGGATAGAAGCATCTATGCGCAGTTCTCATGACGTTTGTACTTACTAAATATAGTACTTCGTGGTGTACTAAGCTATGTGAACAATTTACACAATGCCCCGGTTTAATCCGTATTTGAGGAGAATGTAATTGGGCAGACGTATAATATTGTCATGATCTGACGATATTTGATATTGTTACCCTTGCCCGTCAGTTAATTTTGAGTGTGGCAAACCCTCCTTTCGGATGTCGGACATTCAAAACGGTAGAATGGTGACATATAACAAACGCATTGTCTTTGGTATCTGGGATAACGAACGAATAATTCCATTAGCATGGAAGAAACAATATGAATGTATGCGCATGAGGGGTAAATATTGTCAGCAGGGCCTTTAGAAACTACGTAGTGAACAAAAGTGGCATTTTTTGGCGTCAGATATTGTTCATCCGTAAATTTCCAAACAAGCGCCAGAATAGTAAAACCGTCGTGAGACAATAAAACGAACCAATAAGTTAGACATGGTTTCCAGTGTACCCCATGCAATGTACCAATGAATGTATATAAACGCGATGTAACTAAACTCTAAACTCATTCTAATTCGTTGTCATTATAAATATTTCTAGGTCACAAGCCAAATACTTTGTTTGTGAGAAGAAATAGTAAGGAGACCTTTTAACGTTTTAAGATACATCACCTTGCATGCATATAAAGTAAGTTTGTGAGAGTTATATAATTGTCCATGCGATGTATTGAAAAAAGTCTTAGCATTTGCCAAGAACATTTCTGTTGTCAGTATCCCCATGTCATGCACTATTCCACATAGTTTTTTTTTTCGAATCTAACCTTTTGTGTACCATGAATGCAGATCGTCGCAACACAAAATAATTTTCATTGACTGACAAACGCTTGGGATTAATTAACACCCCCCAACCGATGTATTCGCTGGTTATCGTCATAATCATTGCCTAATGTAAGAATAATATCCGTTCCTGAAACGATTCTCCGTATCTCGTCTCCCGTTTCCCACCAGCTAATCGGTCACATGTCCTATTCCAGAATTCGATTGTATGCCAACTAATGGCGTTCAATAAAAAAAACTCAAATGTTACAGATATTATCTTTTTCTTACTAACTACGCTGTTCACATAGCATTTGAATGATTATAATGTTGCTGCAGTTGTTGTTGTCATTATTTGGACTAGTGACGCGCTGTACAACTGTCATCAATAGCAAGTATCGATACTTCAAATGGATGAATAAAGGTCTGACTAATAAGTTGCTGAAAGTTTAGTAATTTTCTTCGACGTATAGAGTTTCTTTGTTCAATAACATATACCAACCAACTCTAGAATGAAAAAGTAACCTTTTCACAACGCTGTTCGGTTCAAACTGTTATCAAAATGTGCAATAATAGGAAGTTAACTTTATACATACGAGGTCACGGTAAAAGACAATTTTGCATTCCATAACAGCTGGTAAGGCTTTCCGCGTATTATTCAAAGTTATGAGATATTCATATCCATTGAATAGCAACTGTATTACCGGATTTTTTTATCAGACAACGGCTATTTTGCCATTAACTTTGTATAAAATGCTTTCTTTGTAGCTTGACGAAGGCCTTCTCAGAGATCATGTCAACCCTGTCGTTGAGAAACGAAGCAAGTCAAGCTTCCATGGCGCAATCGGCTAGCGCGTTTGGCTGTTAACCAAAAGGTTCCTGGTTCGAATCCAGGTGGGAGCGCAGCAATTAGCTAACAATTATTTTTGCTTCCCTACATTACGCCCCAAAGTTTCTATTAGACGCCATTCCAGTCGCGGAAGGCATTCGTTTTGTAATGCAAGAAGAGAAACTTTCGTTGTAGCAGAAGTAAATGATTGTTATAGATGGAAATTTTTTCTCTTATTAAAACTATAATTCTAGTCATGGTACGCCTCTAAGGTTTAGCTCATATTCTTGTAGCAAAGCATTGACAAAAGCATTTTGCGTGCGATGCCATAACGACGCCACAGCTACCAGTGGGATATGGTCAATAAACGAATGAAAATTGAAAGCGGGACAGATTTTATGAATAATATATTAATATAGGACACATTTGTCAAAACGTCTGATTGCCCGTGGGTACTGTAGAGAAGGACTTCCCTGACTAATCGTTTGGGGATGTGGCTGAGTCATCTAACACGATCACATGCAAATTGTTTGTGCACGGCCTTTAATCATGTTTTCCTGAAAACCTGTGCCATCGCTTATTCTGAACTGTTATTATTCTTTCTGTATATCGAGTTTTGACACTGTCACAAGTTTTTCGGACTTTGTACCGTATTATCAAAGCGAGTTGATTATAAGACATTGCTACAAGAGGCTAAATGCTAGTTTTAATCTGAATCTCTCGATACGTACATGTTTCAACAATAAGAAACGCATAACTCTGGGAAAAACGTTTTGGCTGATATGACTAAAAACGTTAACTTGAAAATCAAGTTGTTTGCCGTATGATAAGATAACAAGAAAAGAATATTAATATGGCGTATTAACCAAATAAATTGATGCTCACAGTATTAGAAGAATTAATTAATATTATTTAATATACATGTTGGTTATAGAGTTTGCTTAATAAATTATAAACTATAAAATCTAAACGACATAACAGTTATGCTAAACTCTCGATATAATAAATTTAAACCCATTTTCTCCACGTTTACGTGTATTGACATAATCTCGTTATTATCATAGCAATTTATCTTATGCATTACGTGAAACGATTGCATCAAATAACAATCGTTTCATTGATTTATTTGTATAATTGAGTCTTTCCTTTGTCATAAATCTCTAATCTGCAAGCCGAAAATCATATCAGCCCTCGCACTTTGGCTCTATATTTTGATGGCTTTTAGTGACCGATTTTTTAGTTAGGCCTAATGATAAAGCGGAATATTCTGTATAATACACACCCGTATCAAAAAATCACCGACTATTTCCTGCAGTTAATGAGAGTATTAAGCATATGAGTGATTGCAATTATCGCAATAGTAATACAAAAATTGCAATATGTTGGTAAATTACGAATTTACCTAGAGCCGACTTTTACCTTACGAAAAACGGTACAATTGATATAGGTTATGCAACTAAAATCAACCGTCTCATTAAAAGGCCGAAAAAACGCATTTATAAAATGTGCCCCGCAACTTCTTGCGTTTCGTTGAAAAGCCTGAAATTTTACTATTCGGTGTCATTGATTGCCTCTAAATCTGTAATCAAATGCTAATATTGACATAACGAGCAATGCAATTACCATGGCTTTAATACTGAAGTTAGCGCATCTAGTGCACAGCATATTTACCAAACATTGTGGTGTGTTAACTAGTAATTACATATGTAACTAGATTTATCATGGATGATCCAATGTAATGTTGCCCAGACAAATCTTAGTTTGTGCCTTTGACTTCCGTTCCAGTCTGAAGAAATATGTATCCCACGTCATTTAGAAATAGCTTAATATCTCGCCTTTAAAATTTTCACATATCAAAATTTATGGGCAGTTTTAATTTGATAAGAAAACTAATGTCTGCAGTCTATCTGCGCGTTTGCTACAAATAAAGAATCATATAAAGCGGTCAAATACCGAGTTTGTAAAATCTTAATACAGATATTTACCAGAATATAAAAATACTATGTACTGTATAGTTTTAAAGACTGCTAGTACAATTTTGTTGTCGGGTGTGCAACAAAACGTGTCGAAACTGAGCTAAACTTTCTATGCAAATACGCCACGACACAAATGCATACAATTGAGCGCAGCATGTCGTACAAATTTATTTTAGGAGACGCAATAATTATATAAAAAAGCGTAAAAAAAAGATTTTAGATTTAAACGTTGCCCTATCGAAGAATTAGAATGTGTTATGAATCTTTTGCGGCAAACAAATGCTTTTTTCGCATTCACAATAATAATAACACAAAGCCCTATTTTTTTAGACGAGCTCAGTCATGGTTTGCCTAATTGCTTTGATGACACACTTGTAAATGTCATCTCGTTTGCGGTATTGTAACAGGAACTATCCTGAACAATGTTCACATCTCGAGAAAAGCACCGCCGTCTTGAAATTGCAGCCTGACGATTGGTTCATTTCAACCCCATTTGTATCACATCACACAAAGATAATCAAAATATCGAATTCATCGAATTTCACTACCGCTAAGAATTTCCCCGGAAAACTAAATACAGTTACTCAGTATTGAGAAGTCGGATCAATAAAAGCTTTTGTATAGTATGGACCGCGAGTACTTGTCAGGAAACAGCTCTTCATGGACCAAAAACAAAGGAAAGGGAAAGCAGCTTGATAATGCGGAGACTGAAGATGTGCTTGAGGAAGATTTCATTGTATTTGAAAGTGACAATGATAATGATGATGATGACTATGGACAGACGTTTACAACACATCTGAGCAAGGTTGAATTAGATGAGCAACTATCTGCAACTTTGGAATCAATTGTCAACAGCAATAGTAAGAACAGAATCAGTCATTTTATTAAATTATCCAATCTGTTACTATTATTTGGTAACAGGTTAGAAGATGATCAACTGAGAAACGTTTTGAAAACAGTTGGAATTAATGTCACGTATGATGACCATAAGATGACCACTGATATTGAGCTGGAATTGCATCTTAGGGCATATGTATTGACTTTAGAAACATACGGCAAGCACCTTGTCAATATGGAGAATGAGTTACTTGAAACTTTGCATGAACACCTTGCAAAATTGTATGACTTCCATCAACGTTGCATCAAAGTCATAAAAAAAGGCTTACACAGTCCAAGTGTTTTATCTGCTACATTTGATAAAACTGTTAAAGTTCAAAATTACAATAATGTATTTTTATTCATGCATATCTATAATACTCTTCATGTGATGAATGATGATAATGATGTAGATGACAATGATAAGACTGTCTGGCTTGAAATTATTGATCAATTAAAGGCTTTTTTTGCTACATTAGTTGAGGCTTTACCTAATGTAACTGGTGTTATGGCAACTACTACTACAGAAATCCTAATTGATAACAAATTCACTGCTGAAATATATAATAAAATTCAAGAGGTTCTACAATCCAAGTTTTCTATGGGGCATTGGTACAAAGAATGGAGATATTTATACACAATGTACCAAGCATTTGTTAAGTGGTCAGCTGCTCCAATTAACAGAAATTTGATTTTTAAAGGAGAATTGATTATTATTGAGGATCTATGGAGATTTGGAGACCAAGAGTGGAATAAAGCAGTTTCAGCAAAGTCAGATGGGTATAATAATAAATCTAATATAAATACTAAATTAAAAATTATGTCAGAATCAGTTCCATACTCATTATTGTTTGGTGTACTGGATATTGCACAAAGGCTGATAATATCTACAAAAAATACTAATACCTTGGCTCATTGTTATTATCTTGCAAAACTGACACTGGACACTGTAAAGATTGAATTTATTCAATTTAAAGCCATGGAAGTTCTATTGACACTGGATAAAAAAGATCCAATCATGTTTTCTGTTGTGCAAGTTGATCTAAATCAGCATATTAAAAACTTTTCAATCTTGGACCAAGATAAAAAAATGTTTCAAAACATAAGAGGATACATTGATGAAAAATATACTCACATTAAGCAAGCAAGTGGCAGAACAAATGTTGAAATGTCAATTATAAGGAAGAAAGCAAGTAAATTTGAGCAGCCATCTGAAGAACTTCTTAATTCAAATCCAAATGATTCATTAATTTTAGACATGGTTGCTGAGCATCTTACATGTCAATTTACACAAGAAGTTACTAATGATTTTAGAATACTTCCATGTAAACACAAAATCAGCTATTTGGCATTAAAAACATTCATGCATATGAATTGTCTTGAACTAAAATGTTTTTATTGTAGAAGGAAATGTCAATTAGATGAAACTGAAAAATTACCAAGCTCACCAATTTACAAAGCATTGTATGAAAAATTTGTCAGAGCTGGACATGTTACACCAAGTACAAAAGACAAAAAAAACGATTTTACAGCTATTGTAGCAAGTCAGGTTGATGATGATGATGCTGAGGAGACTTCTATTATAAAATCGAAATTTTTATATTTACTTCAAATGAAACCAAAGAAAACTATCCTACAATTAATGAAGAGACCAAAACGCCTACATCCTACATACAAGCAAGGCAAGAAAGCTCTTGATGAAAAAAGATATAATGATGCAATATTATGGCTTGAAAGAGCACTTATCCATTATCCCAACAGTGCAACTATCCAAGTTGACCTTGCTGTTGCATATATGGAAAATTCAAACTACCAAAAATGGTATGATTACATAACTCAGGCCATAAAAAACAATCCTAACAATGCCAGAGCATGGGCTTGGCGTGGAAAATATTATATGCAACAATCAGAGTACAAAAAAGCTCTTAAAGATCTTAAACAATCATTAAAGATTGATGCAAATGATTTGCTTGCATTAGAAGTCAGGGGTAACATCTATTGTATTCTTGCCTGGTATGAGCTGGCATTGGCTGATTTCAATCAACTTAAACTATTAAAGATTGAACTAACTGATCCAAACACACTGATTGCAAGGGGAGCTGTCTGTTTTAAGTTTTGTCAGTATGCAGATGCATTAGAAGACCTCAATAAAGCATTACAAATTGAACCAACTGATGCAACAGCACAACATCTAAGAGGACATGTATATCTCACACTCAAGCAATATACTAATGCATTGAAAGATCTTGATGAATCATTGGGAATGGATCCAAGCAATATGTTTCACTTAATGAAACAGGAAATTATCAGACATATTAATCAACATGACAATGCATTGGGTAATTTGGATAAACTTTTAGATGCTGAACCAGATCATGCATTTGCCTTGAGAGTAAGAGGAAAGCTCTATTATGCACACAAACAGTATAATAGTGCATTAAATGATTTTAACAAATTATTGGAAATTCAACCACAGAAAAATGTAGATACACTGAATATAAGAGCAGCTGTCTATCTTGATCTTTGTCAATATAACAAAGCACTAGATGACATTAGCAAGTCATTCAATATCAAATCAAATGAAAGTCTTTACAAGCAGCTATCATCTTTATTTGATCAATTAGAAGTACAAAATTGTCAAAATCAATGTTTATTATTAGGTTTTATGGGACATGAAATAAAAATTGCTGGTGCCATTATTTTAGCAAAAATTTTAAAATTAAATTCCTCTCTGACTTCATTGAATCTTCAGGAGAATCAAATTGGAGCTACAGGAGCAACAGCTTTGGCAAAGGCTCAAGAATCAAATTCCTCTTTGGTTCTTAAATTATAAAATTAAAAATTTAAAGCTGCTCATTTTAAAAGACAAGGAAAGGTGTTAGAAGATTATTGATGACTGGATATAAAATGGAAAAGACAAAGCTGATTACTGATGTATTGATATTCCAAGTAGTACAGTAGTTGTTGTTGGTATGAGTTGTAGTTGTTCCTGAATGACATACTCTTGAATTTAATAGCCTTAGTCTAGGAAGTTTTCCAATTTAAATAAATTTATTAAAATCTAACTGTTGTATAATAATAATAATATTTTCTGCCATTAACTTTATTTGAACTTCAACAGAACAGGGAGACATGATAATTTTGATGCTTATCAGATTGTGGTTATTTTGTTGTCAATATAATAATAAATCGGAATTATTCTATTTAAATTCTTTATTAAGAAGGTTATGCTATGTTAATAGCATTCATGTTTGGTACTGTTACTGTTGCAATTTTGCTAATGTTTTTTGCAGTTTTTACTAATTAATCTCATTTCTTTAAATTTCTCTTTGCAGTGATAAAATTCAAAATTGATTAATTTGTGGATACACAAATAAAACACATGCATAAGCCAAGCATAACACAGTTTCAATTATTGTTGACTGAATATGAATGTTCCATTGAAATATAGCTTATACAAAGGCAACCCCGTTATAACGAACACCGTTATTATTATACCGAATATCTCGCTATAATGAAGATTTTTTAAAACCCATTTTCAATCATATAGAATTTACCCCAGTTAACCGAATTTTTATATGAAAATCTTTATTAACCGTATCCGAAGATTTTATTATTATTAGAACAGTAATTATAATAACAAAGTTGCCCCGTTAAACTAAAGTTTTCGATTTAACCGAATTATCCAAAGATCTGCCTTTGTTAACCGAAGAAAGAAAATTTTCTAACCAATAAAAATGCAAATTATAAATACGCGTAACACATTGGAGTTCGCTAGAATGCATGGCGACCGATGGTGATAGTGACCATTTGCTTCTTCAAAGCGACCAAGGGAGGACAGAAGTGTTTTTGCCAGTCCTTCAAGATGTTTGTAAAGGCAAACGCTACAACAAACACTAAAAAAAAACGAATATGCTTGACTGTTAGTCAAAAAATCGAGATATGCCATGCGAAAAACACAAACCCAAACATAAAGAACAACCAATTGGCTTTGCAGTATGGGGTGGGCGAAGCAACAATATCCGATATATTAAATAAGAAACAGTACTTTTTGGCATTAGAACCAAATGATTATACAGCATCATTGCGCCGTGAAAGGTTATCAAAATTTTCAACAATCGAACAAGCATTGGCCATTTGGATTGATCAAGCGGTTGTAATATTCTATGCATTTATTAATAAAGGAGACCGATTTTTTTAGCTACATGTGCATTTATTTAGTATTTTCACTCTAATCCGAAGAATCCTATACATTGATATAACCTTCGGTTAACACGGGTGTCCCGTTATTCCGAAGACCCCGTTATACCGAAGAAAAGTGCTAGAACGGACATCTTCGTTATAACGGGGTTGCCTTTGTAGATCTTTTGAATATGGATGACTGCAGACAGTGCTATAAACCTGAAATTATTTCTGCTCATTCAACCATTTGAGGAGCACACAGTTATAATTGTTAGCAGGTCAGGTTTACTACACATAATAATAAACATTCTAAAGTACTATTTTCTACCATCGAAGATATGTAATTCTACATCGAAACTTATTACTATTCTGATTCAGCCAATCATAAACGTCATAGACGTTGCAAACAATACGGCGGCAGACTGTGACTGTTTTGTTTGATAACTTTGCCGTATTGACAACTTATCACAAATCAAGTAAATTATTATAAGTCATAAAAAGTCTACAAATATGTTCACGTCTCTCCTCACACAGAAAAATCGCTGATATATCAATTTTTTTATAGTAGACGTCTTACCTTTATTGTTTATTTATTATTATGAGGTTTATTTCTAAAGCCAATACTAAACGCATAAATTGAGAGTGTCAATAGATTGATATACAGTACATATTGGCTTCGACAGTTTGTACTGACCCATAAAATTTATATGATTAGAAAATAACGAGTTCTACTGATGTAAGATGACAGAAACATTATTTCAAATTATGTATTAGCTTGCATAATACAGTCGTTCTCATTTGTATCCCAACTTTTATGCTGGACAAATTTCTCTATTTTAGTTCCATATAAATTTCCTCAGGTTCATATCTTATAAAGTCTCACATGATCATGACTCGTTTTTAATTGTGTTACACCAGTGAAGAGCTTGATTAAGATTCTTTGTAACTGTTATTCCATGCCTATAAAAAAGGCAAGTTGATACCGAAAATATTTGATATGTTGAAATGTTCATTGAAGGACATACCAAGCAGGATAGCTGTGTTTAGTGGGCAGAGCTTCCGGCACTGGCTCCATTTGTACTATCTTGATTACTGTGGTAGTGCCCTTTTGTCTGTCTAACGTAAATAGGTACCTAACGTAAATACCGGTTGACAACACTAACATTCCTCGTGACTTCTCTGATCAATAGTAAAAGATGAAATCTATTTTTCGAAAATCGCCCTCGGCTGTATCTACTAACCAAATAACATTATCTTTTGTATCATTCTGAAGCTA